AAAAAAAAAAAAAAAAAATCTTTTAAGTAAAAAGTGTATCTCTTTGTTCTTTAAAACATCTATTTGTAATCCGCTCCCCAAACATCTTTTTGTATCAATAACTCTATAAAAGCTGGGTATCAATTTGACACTTTATTATAAACAGGACATGCACACGCCTTCTAAATTGACAAAAAAAATCAATATTTTTCAATTCTGATGTTTTACGGTCTAAGGAAAGTTTAAAGAATGCTAATGAAGAAAAAAAAAAATCCCAAATTTAATTTGTAAGTAGTCTGTTCTATTTAAGACATGCCTTTTTTATGTGTTTTATTTTTGCATTGCACACTCTTAGTCAAATAAGTTTTCAAAATATGCCCATTTGCTTTGAATATGTTCTGGTTACTAGTTAGCAGAGTTAATATCAGAATTCCATTGAAGAGTAAAATGATTTTTAAAGCCTGATGCTGTCTTCTGCAATAAATGTGCTGCAGCCAGTCTTTTTAGTATGTTGTAAACGATGCTTATTAAAACAAAAAAAAATCACATATATGCTTTAAACAAATTACTCAGCATATCTGTTAATGAACAGATAAAGAATCAACAGTCATTCTCTTTTAGACCCTCCCACCAAAACACTTGCTGTTTACGCCCCCCCCCATTAATCCTACATTTGCTGTATTTAAAATTCTGTTAATTTAATTTTGCCTTGTAAGATTTCTAGAAACAAGTCTTTTAGGTTAAAACTGAGGAAAGTTTCTCTCTTGCTATGTTTCTGAGTTGCAAATAGAAAAAAGTTTTTCAACAAGTTTTCTTATAATAGAGACCAAGTTATTTTCTGCTGAACATGTTTCCATTAAAAGACTAGGCTGATTATTCTCGGCCATTTCAACAGGAAATCCTTTCTAAATTTGTTTTGGTTTTTGCTGCCAGCATCTTTATTTTGGGCCATTGGTTAGTCTTATTTCATAGTCCATGATATATTAGTCAATCTCTACCCAACCACCCTATCCATAACCACTTCCCCTTCTGTACAACCTAGTTAACTTTATAGCACTAATATAGACGAACTTAAGGGAGATTAGTACAATTCCTAAGTTGTGGGTATTTACCAAAAATAAGAATGATTACCAAGAATTGTCTGTCTTAAATTTTTTTTTTTTTTTTTCTCTCTCTTCCTTTGTTTTTCTTAAAGCTTTTCCCCATAATTAAAGCTTAGCTATCCTCCCTCTCCAATTAAACTAAATTGCTGGAAATTGGTTTTAATATAGCATTAAAAGTTCCCCTTCTATCAAAACAACTCCTGGATAACTTCAAACTGCCATTATTGGGCAGGGTATAGAATGAGTTCATCTCCTCTAAAGTTGATAGGGATGGTGGATATCAATGAGTTAATTCTGTGAATCTTTTGGAATTACCAGTTGGAAGATATATATAAGAGAGAGTATGCACACTGAGTGCTGGTGGTAATAAAAAGGCGCCTCGTGTAAAATAAGAGCTGAAATTTATACTAGTAATATTCATTTGTTCCTTACTGGTCAGTGCAATTTCAAGTTTCATGCATGTGATCATCATGCACAAATTGAAAAGTTGTATATGATAAAAAATATACTTTTGAGGTATACTATATTGGTAAAGGTGTTCAATATCGGGGATAGTGTTTGTAAATATAACGGTGGACACTGAGGTTGCTGTCGAGTGGCGACAGTCTGTTCAATTTTCAGGCCATGAAGATTGCATTCAAGTTTTGCATAATTGTGCTACAGTATACTGTACTGAAGCCCCTTGTTTCTTAAAGCATAAAGAAGACAAGTGCCTAATCAGAAGTATCTCTTAAACTTTGTAACACCATATCACCAAGAGCATAATATCTAAAAACTCATCCCAAAATTTCAAGAATCTACTGAATAGGTGAATTATATTCCTCTTTATTTTTAAGTGTTGGATCTGTTCATGTTGAAAATTCTCCCCCTCCCTCCAAAAATGATGTCCATGGCATTCTTTTTCTCACCTGTTTTATTCACATAAATATTTGAATATTGTCTACTTTTTATAAAATTAATGCTCATCATAAAATCTGGTATAAGTTTTTATTAAGAAATTGGAAAATTAGAAACAAATGCTAAAGGCTTATGGCCTAGATGGGTGATGACCTGGGTATACTAAGTGCTGTAAGCTTGGATGTGCAAGTGGTGTGATGGATAATGACTTGGAATTGTTAATTGCAAAGCAGTTCTAATTTCAGTTGTATTCACTTACATGCAAATACCATTGGGGGTGGGGAGTATGAATCTACCTCTTCTCCCCTTGCTATGGGTTAATTAGTAAGACTTGTATCACTTTAATTATTTTCTGGAAAATTCTTACAATCTAAAAATATTTTCTGACTTTAAATAACTTGCCATATGTTAAGCCATAGAAAACAAATTTCTCAATCAAGAATGCTGAATTGTGATGTAATATCAATCCTCTTGTATAGCAGTGAATTTCCTTGCAGAGGAAGAAACTTGAAGCAACATATGTGATTCTACAGGCCTATGCTGAGAATACTATGGAAATAATGTGAGCAATGAGGAAGGAAGCTTTAAGGAAAATTGAGTTGGGGTGGGTACATTTAGAATCTATTTAAATTTCTGGGGCACAATGAGAAAAGATATTTTGGTAAATGACACCCACTCAAATTATAGGAAACAATGAATAACCTACATAAATTTATGCAAATTATGACAGAACAAGGAATTGAAAAGATAGGTTAAACAAAAAACATTGCTAAGAGCTACAAAGGATAGGAAGTTGTGGAGAGCCATGATCATTCACATCCTAAAGGGACACATAAAAGACTATAACCCATTAATGATCACCCTCCCCAAAATGGGAGGGATGGACACTAATAATTTAATTCTGTGTATCTTTTGGTTTTTAGCACTTTAAAGATTTTAAGTCCATTTTAAAATTTAGAGAAATGGGTATTTTGTATTTATTCAAATTTGCTTTTTAAGTGCTGAAAACTTCTCAACACTCCCAATCTCTAATACCAGGCTTTTTATCATCCCCCTCTTGATTGAGCTAAGAACTTTTCACCATCCTTTCATACTTGAAGCAAAGAACAAAAAAAGTTAGCTGCAATTTACTTAAGACAATGAGAAAGGGGAGATAACTCTAACATTCCCTTCAGGGCTTAGTAAAACAACAATTCGGTTAAATGCTCATCTAAAAATATTAGCATACATACCTCCACAAAAAACGAGATGCCTAACGTTTAAAATTAATTTAAAAAATGAAAAGTTTTTCTTAAAGTATTTATTTTAGTTTTAATTTTAGGCTAATAGATTAAATTTGATATTTCCAATAAGCAGAATACTTTGATGTATTTCAAAACTAAGAAGTTTTCATTTTGAAATTGCTGAAATTAGCACCATTTTTAGCCATCTTACATCAGAATGTAATCCTTTTATTAAAAAAATATTCCAAAAATAAAATATACTTTTATGAAACTTTATTTTGCAGAATTTTAATTGATTTAAAGTTTAATCTGATTTGAAACAAATATTACTTTCAGTTTAAAATGGCAGAAATGCATTTTTTTTAATACGGCAATAGGTGTTGACAGCTTTAATGACAGATGAAAGTTTATCTAATGTTTTTTTAATGGATATATCTGTTAAAAAAAAAAATGCAGAATGTGACATGAGCACCTTTTTTCATTTAATTTTTAAATACTTAGTAATCTTAAAAATTTAGGATAGTATTCTCCATAATCTAATGTTTGTATTAAATTTTAGATATTTGGCTTTAAATTTACTATAGTTATCGCTGTTATTTTCTGATAATGCTGTGTATATCACCTAACAAGAACAAAGTAATGCAGACATTTAAAAAATTAATTTTATAAATTCTAATTAAAATTTTAAAATAAGATAAAAAATAAAACTCTTATAAAAATTCATTATTCATCAAAAAAAAATTTTCCTGGAGTTAATGGCATCCATAATGCATATTATTCATGAAAGCAATTAAAAACTTTTCTAATTAAATAAGGTCTTAGTTTTATTGCATTTTTTTAATTTTATGATTCAGAGTAGATTTTTGTTAACTGAGCTTTCTATTTTACAAAAAAATTAATTCTCGAAGCAGTTCTGTTTTTAACCAATATAAACATTGATTGATACAAAATTTAATTTCTCAATTTCTTAATATTAAATAAGTGGTGAATAACTGATGTAAAAAAAAAAAAAAAAAAATCTAAAATAATTTCATTTCTGAATAAGTCCTAAAAGTTACATTAAAATCTGACAGTTTTGATTTTTGCAAGAATTTCCAAATCAATGTTTTTCACTGAAAAAAGACTCTAAAATTTCATATACTAATTTTTAGTGTCCCCCAACCATCACATTGACACAAGGAAAACCAGATTTTTAACGAAAATTTCCGATGTTCTAAAAAGGATAAAAAATAACTTCATCAAAAAATCCTTTGATCTTTCCTCTTAATAATAGATTTAGATGATGAAACTTGGGGCATGATATGTTAATTTTGCACATCTTCCATAACTGTTGACATTTTATATTTTCAATATTGATTATTTTACAGAAATTAAATAGTTTTTGATGATTCTTTTTGAAAATGACACTAAAATTTGAATCCGAAGTGCTAAAAATCTTTTCTTTTTTTTTTTTTTTTTTTTTTTTTTTTTTCCCTTTATATGGAAGTAATTTTAAAGTGAAAAGAACTTTCTCTTGCTTTTTAAGCATGTGATGTCCTTCTTAATTTTGTTTTTTGTGCCTGTTTGAAAGGCAGTAATTTCTCTCTTATTTCTAATGTTTAAACCTGTGGTTTTTTTTTTTTTTTTTTTCTCTCTCTCTCTCTCTCTCCAGTTCTTCACAATGGACAGATTGTGCCAGCGTTTGCTGCTGGGGCTTGGGACATTGCTGTTTCTAGTGCTTCTAGCACATGCCTGCAACGATGCTATATGTGCCAGTCGAGTGAGTAAATGCCAATTGATCAAGTGCTGTGAGTGTGATATGTCAGACAAGAAAAACTGCACGTGCTGCCATGACTGCCAGATCTGCCTGTCTCGTCTCTATGCAGAATGTTGCTCCTGTGTTGGTCAGTATCACCTTTTTAGATTTCCTTTCTCTAGTAAGATTTGTTATGCTCTTCTCTACAGTTATTTCTTCTGCCTGTCACTTCTGGTGCTGCCTCGTGTCCGAGCAACTATGGGGCAAGAATGAATTGTTTACCTTCCTTGAAAGTACAGCAAACTAAATTTGTCTTTCTGCTGCTAGCCTCCTCTTCTATACATGATTAACAGTAAGAAATCACTTGAATATAACAAGATTTTACTGAAATTTGTACACCATCTTAGCATGGGTTAATGATTAATGAGGCCGGTCTGGTTGACTATCAGTACTGAGTTTGATCCTCACTAGATGCCCCGTACAAAACTCTACAATAAATAACCCTACAAAGGCTGACTACCATAATTTAACAAATGTCTATATTATTCTGTTAATATCTCTCTATCTCAGCCTGGGGAAATTGGTTAGCAATACTAGTCTTGGTGATCATTACTACTGAGTAGTGAGTTCAATCCTGACTGGGTCTCCATACAAAATTCTACATTATATAACCAAAAAAGGGTTGGCTTATAGTAGAATTAGACAACCAACTAAACATAATCATATCTTTCACATTGGTTTACCAGAGAATTTACTATAGTCAAATTGATACATGGCGGATTGGGTTCATGCCTTTTGGTTGATGGTATTAGACCTTAATGATGAAAGTGAACTTTAGAGGTATATATGAGATGTGCAGGTAGTGTAATGGTCAGTAATTCAAATTCTAGTAGAGTTCTTTACATTCACTTACTCCCAAAAACTCTCCCCACCTCCTACCAAAAGTTAAATAGCAGGACATACTTACTAGCAATGACTGGCAGTCTGTCTAGGAGAAAGAAAATTGAAACCTATCGTGGAGATGTTTGAGACTTTGTGATAATCTGCACCATTTCTCCATTAGCAGTTTTTCCAAAAAGCATGATTGTTTGCTATATAAGCCTTCACCACTATAATCAAATTATATGGTGGTAATCTCTCAGTTCTTAAAAAAAAAAAAAAAAAAAAAAAAATCTGTCAAAATTGATCGAAGTCTAGTGACATGGTGATTTTTGACAGGAAGCGAGTGTCTATAAAGTAACATCACAGATGTCAAGAAATATGAAATGAGAGGGTGGCATTGGATTGTGTCAGAGAAGTGCTTATGGCCAGTCTTTTATCCTGTCTATGTTAATGACAGAAGCAAAGCCTTCAGATATAAGGAAACTATATTTACATTTGTAATGCCATGTTGGATTTCCTTTTTCTGCCAATATATTTTCAGTATCATTAAACTCAGCCATAACAGATGTAAGCTTGTTTTCTTAATGTTAAATTTACTGTAGTTAACTTTTTTTTTTTTTTTTTTTTTTTTTTTTTATCACCAAATCCTTTTAGGAGTTTGGCTCTAAAAGATATGAAATTTTGCTGTTATGTGGAGGCTTCAAACACGTTTTTAACTAAGCCATATCCTCAGGTGTGTGTGTGTGTGTGTGTGCGCACAATTGCATCCAAACACACAAAATGACAATTATCTACAAATGATAATTACCAAGTTGCTGTGCACATAATACGATCCCCTGCATTTCTAAAGATAAAAACAGGGTATAAGTTACATACTCTAGTATAATACAACCCCATAGTACAGGCATCTCTGTAATTTTTTTGGAAAAGTTGTACCATATTCATTAAAATCACAATGTTGTACATATTTGACTAACATATTTAATTTTTCACAATATTAAAAAAAAAATGAAACTGATGCTTAGTTATTTTTTCTCCTAATTTTCAGGGAAAGGTGCTAACTAGACATACTAAATAATACATTTTAAGCTGTTAATATTGTACTTTTGTTTATGATTTTATCATAGGGACCTCCATAAAAGTAGCAATACTTAAGGTCTAAAATAAAAAAATCTTTCTTGAAGTTTTTATTTTAGTTTTAATTTCATGCTAATAGGTAAAACTTAATTTCCAATCAAAATACTTTGCTGTATTTCAAAAACTAATTTTTCAAATAAGTGGGTTTATTTTATTTTTAAATTTTTTTTTTTTTTTTTTTTTTTTTTTTTTTTTAAACAGGTTTATGTCCTCCACCCGATCCAAATGATGTTCCTTACAAAAGCAGTACAATTGAAATTCTTCTTGATCCAATTCCTGATTTATTCAATGTCTTAACAATTGAAGATGATGCCCAGAAACGTTGGTCGTCTTTCCGCTATCAAGTACGGAAAGATGCAGTTTCATACACTATGGACAGATTAGCAGACATGGAAACAGCAGTGGCTCTTCGTGAGTGTTTTTTCTTCCTCATCCCACTCCCTATCCAAAGCTGACAATAAACAAAGTGGTTACTTCACTACTGCTCTCTAAACACTTGAGCTAATCATAAAGAGTTCATTGCCTGCACATACATTCACCAAAATTTCTCATATTGTAGTACACTAGTGATCATAAAGTGATACCAGCAGTTTGCTTTCAGATAGATATAGATGGATGTACTATATGCTTTGCTATTCAGACATGCACAATTGTCTCGGTTGTCATACTCTTATTTTAATCCATTATATCTCCAGCCTTCTTAAGGTATCTGCTTTTGTACTTGGTAATATTCTTGGAATTTCAAACTGAATCCTTTACTCAAAATGTGAACCATTTTACCCCTGTGGCTTGAATGAATGATTCGGTTTGAAGTTCAAAAAAAATGTTACCAAACACACACCTGTACACTGGCAGGGGTGTTGGTACCATTGCCAGGCTGTGTGTGCGCGCAACAACTAAACTGAGCATGCTGAATTGAATAGCCAGGCACTGATGCAGCTTGGAATTGCTCTAATCCACTTAGCAGATTGATGAAAATATTTCCACTTTCAATTTTCTTGAATCATTTGTGATGCAATGCAGTAGTTGTGCTATATATAAAAAAAAAAAAAAAAAAAAAATACCCTATGGCTGTCAAATTTTTCTGTTATGAGATAAGGACTTCTCATTATTTACGCACTTTTTATATCAACGCTTTGGGAAGTTGTGACCCCCACCACCACCATTCTTCTGATGTTTGTCAATTCTAATAAATTAAATTTTTTTTTCTCTATTACTGCACCCCGTTTTTACTGATTCTGTACTACTTGGATTGAACTTAAATTTCTAAATTCAGGATTGTCCCACAGAACAAAAGCCTAGTAGATTATTGGTTTGTGCATTTGGTGATATTGTAAATACGTTAAATCCCTGGGCTGGATAGTACAAACTCAATTGGTGGAAATGGAACAAGCAATAACTGAGAAGTACAGAAAATAATCCTTAGACTTGAACAATCTGCCTTTTGTATGTTAAATAAAGTGTTAATTTTCTGAAGGTTGTTTGGATCAGCAGACCCTCTGAATGGCAGAGGGGCACATTTGCTAAAGCATTTCAAGGAGATAAAAATGAATACATATGTAATTTAATCAGACATAATTGTTGCCATCAGCACATTACAAAATGTAAGAAATTTTTTCTTTAAGAGATTTCTTTCCCTTGTTTATATCATTTAAAGAAAATATTTAAGTAAACAAAACACAAATAATGATTCAAAGCTCCAAGGTTGAATGAGATAGATCATGCCATCCTTCTGCAAAGTAAGTTATTGCATTATATTTAAAAAGGATACATTTCCTGTTCACCAAAACTGCACTTTTTTTTTCTTTTTTCATTTAGTTAACTACTGATACAATAAAGTTAACCCTGTATTAGTTAAATGGGATGTTTTGTTAACCCAAGTATTTGTAATTCCTAGTTGGCAGCTTGCTTTTTTTTTTTTTTTTTTTTTTTTTTTTACTTTCTCTCTCTCAACTCGGCAAGAGTGTGTGGCACAGTTGTAATTCAGTTGTCATTATTGGCAGACACCAAGGAACTATCCATTTTTGGAAACCCAAGATGACAAACGTGGTTAACAAGTCTCTAGTTCTGGTTTCTCCTAAATCCTAACCCTTTCCTATAAGAGGCCAAACTTTGGTAAGTTTGGCTCTAGAAGGGCACTGTAGAGGTTTTTTTTTTTTTTTTTTTTTTAACAATCTGGAGGTGGTTCCATTCTGATTGAATGTTGCAAAATGTTATTCTTTTCTTGTAGATCATGGGGTTGTTAAGCCTGGTACACTGTATCTTTTTGTTAAATCAAACATTATTTTATCAAACATCTGCTTCAGCACTTGCCTTAAAAAATAACAAAAACAAATCTTCTAAAGTGATTTGCCTCCTAAGCTGAATTTGGCAAATCCCTTTCATCCAGACCAACAGTCATATGGGATATGCTAAAAGTTTCAGTGCTGTGTTGTTATATCATTGTTGCCTAGCTTTACTGGCCCATTTGTGGGGAATAAGACAGAAATATCTCAATGGAAAAGATTTAAAAGAAATATTCAAAAATACAGACACAGAAAAAATATACAGTTTTCTCAAGGAAATAAAATCCTCAATAAAATATAACCCTTTCAAATAGTGTGTGTGTATATATATATATATATATATATATATATATATATATATATATATATATATGTGTGTGTGTGTATAGACATATATATGCATCTAAAATAAACAGTAAAATACAATCAAAACGGTCACAAAAAGCAATCCCAAAAAAATACAGAAAATTATGAAACCCAACAACCTTTCAACTTTTTTATACAAAATAACCAACTTAAATTCATAAATTAATAAAGCTTCAGCATAAATTGACCCAAATAGGAGTTGACATGCGTTAAATCCAACATCCATCCATCCATCCATTTGTGGGTTGAGATAGGAAATTGCTATTTACTGAAAAGAAATAACTATAAAGATGCTCACAGTGATTTCTTATGGGCATCACTATTTTGATTTCAGTAGTTTGGACTGCTGAGCATCCTAAACTAAGCCACACCCATAACTAACAGTATGACCTCACACCACAAAACGAATAGTATTGTACACTACTATGTGCCTACACTGTTTTGGAAACCATACAAAGTGGTAGTTTATCACATGCTCTAGGGACCAACATTTCAGTGTCTTGAAAATGTGTGTGTATATACATCAACAGCAGGTGATGTAAGTTTCATGAAGACCTCATCAATCATGTTCAGTAGCTGGATGGGTGACCGCTTGGGAATACCAGGTGCTGTAAGCTTGGATGTAGGAGTGGTGTAATGGAGAACCAAGCTCCAATTCCTACGTGTAAATACCATTGAGGAAGGTATGAATCCACCTCTTCCCCCAGCTATGGGTTAAATAGTACTTGTATCTGTAAATCTATAAAAACTCAACAATGGAAATGTTAATAATTTTCCTTGGTTGGGTGAGGTTTTATATATATATATATATATATATATAATTTTTTTATATCCAAGAGGATAGAACCCAGGTAGAACTCTGTGTCCAGGACAGTTTTAATATAATAAAAAAGGCACAAACACTAATATTCCATAGTTATAATTCATTACATTGGAATCGTAATCACAATCCAATTCATCAGATACTAAAAAAAGGTACACTGGAGAAAGTGATTGATGGTAGAGCATTATATACTTCTTTCTGGCAAACATTTATCCAAAGAAAAAATAGTTTCATGCTTCCACATTTAAATTAGGGATTCTTATTGATTAATTTTCAGATTTTATTTTTTATTCTCTCACAAAACTGTGGTTTTAATCTTCTTTGAATTTTTAACTTTTCTTCAATAAATTTAATGCCAAATCTTCAAAACAATTGATGGTGTTTTCAAAAATTGATATTTAAGTTTTCATTTTGTTGCAACATTGTTCAAATCTATAATTCACGAGAAAAAAAAAAAATTTTCCTACCTTCATCTCGATGTAAAAAATGAACTAAACAAGAAAACTGGGACTCAGTAGTGGACCCCCAGGTAGAAATTGAAAATGTAACTCCCACAAATATTCTTTGGAATTTTTTTTCTATTTCAAACCCAATTGGTTTTTGAGGCTATGATGTGAGAATAGTGTTTGATAGCAAATCGATTTTTTACAATCTCCTTAAAAATGTGATGTGATTCTCGCTAGCAAATTTAATTGAATGTCTATCTTGATCTTTGGCAACACCCAACATTCAGGTACGTTTTGTACTTGGTGTCACCTCAGAATGTCAAAATAGCTAAGTGACAAATTTGGACTCAAAGAGTGTCAGTGGGTACACAAATATAGACAATGTGAACACAGCTGAACTCCTGATATACACACACAAGAACCAGATTAATAGAAGTTATATAAATGCCCAACCTACAAAGCTATTTTAAGAAAATCAAACATTTGAAGAGACTTGAAACTATATACCCTCAATTTGGCTGACGTTAATTTGACAGTCCACAAGTGAATAAGCAATTATGAAAAAATTTAGTCTCTTATTCTTACCATTTATGTGTTGGTCATTGTCCAGAATAGAAAAAATCTGATTAAAACTATATTTCTAACATTACCTTACTCCCTTTCTATTAGTTCTGTTTTTATTTTACTTTTTTATTTGTCAATTTTTTTGATAATCTGAGAATGAAATGTAAATAAGCACACAGGAACATGTACACATTGACCAAATTTCCTATATAAAATTTTTTTTTTTATTAATAAAAAACAAATGAGAGCTTTAAAAGATTTCTGTGCTCATATTGAGTTTTTTTGGAGTGTTAAAATTTACATTAAATTTTATATCTAAATTACTTTTGATAGGTACAGACTGAAAAATGTAAATATCTGAGATATAGAAGGATGTACATGTAAATAATATAGAAATGTGTGATCTTAATCTTTTAAAATGTAGTAATACAAGGAATGCTCAAAATAATAGTGATTCCTAATATTTTTTAAGTACAACGATATATGGAGAACAACAACACCATTGGATCAAACAAGTTTTCAGCTACAAAACATTACTTTTCACATAGTCACTACCATCGACTTTTGCATTTTTGTCAGTGATGACTCTCGTAAAAATCTGCACTGGTAGAAACAACCTACTTTTTTCCACACATTGCTGTTGCATTATTCCACTGCTTTATATGTTTGGTTGATTTTATATCAATCCTTGTTGGATTATGAAATGTCAAATTTTGTATGGGGCACCTAGTGAGATTCAAACTCATGACTCAATAGTAAAGGTGAAACAGATTAGGCTTGTTAACTATTACCCCACCCAAGATGCCTTGTAAATGTTCAACAAGCATCGATGAATGCCAATGTGTGTACAATTTTCCCTATGAATGAGTTCAATGATACACCACTGCTTTGTATGACTTTCATGTCAGATACTATTTTTGATAGACTCCTATTTGTAACCAAAAAAATAATGATAGGAAATGATAGCAGGAAGGTCAACTTCCATATTGCCTTTGACATCATGTTGAATTGCTTTCAGTGTAACACTTATGTTAAAATACAACTCTATATGTAAAAGTGTTTTGATATATACAAGTTTTGATCACTATATTTAGTGTGTTTTGACACACTGTAGTTTCACAAGATGTAACATTTAGTGATGTAAATTGATGTATTTAATATTTTAGGTCTGCACATTTATCTATATTGCAATTTATCTTTTGGAATATCAGATCCTTCAGTTTAGAAAATTGTCCGTTAACCAACCTGTAAATGATATGCTTTTCATTTTAGGTTGGTTCTATTAGTTTCTATTTTTTGCCAAAATACAAACCAATCAGTATTAGTTTATTTAAGTACTATTATAAGATTGCCCATCTTCTGCCCAATTAAATTACTCCATCCTGTTTTTAAAGTATTTTTTCTAGTTTTAGTTTTATTTCTAAAAAACAGTATTAATACAACAGATTCACTATTGTTTTGAGAAACTTATCAGCCAGGAATTGATCATTGTTGTACAACACATAACTGTCACTTTCTAGACATTCAATAAATTGTGCCTTGTCAAGTCATTTTGTATTTAAAGTTCCTTTTTTACTTTACATAAACTTAACCATTCCAAATATTTGAATTTTATGAGTTAATAAAAACATTTTTGGAGTTTTAATGAGCATTTGCTAAACCATCAATACTTTTGCAATAAATATCTATTTTGTATACTGAACAGTAATATTGATCACATTAAGTCAGTATTAAAATTTAAATTTTGTTTTATTGTACAATATTATTTGCTATATTATTTAGTTATAGTGAAGTTTGTTTTATATCAAAAAAGTTCTTCTGTTCATTTAGTATTTTAGTTTATTTAAAAAAAAATTATGAAAATAATTTACCAAATTATCCTCCTGCTCAGTTGCATAGCACATATTCTGCAATGAAGAACAAAATTCTTTTTTGCTTGTGTATTTAACTGACAAACTGAAATGCATTTTTCTCCATAACAATGAAAAGATAAAATAGTCATTCACACTGCACTTCTTGGGTTTCATTCATATTATAAAATGATTCATAAATCATAAATTCATACAAAATTGCTCATTCTGTCCATGTCAAGAGATATTTGATACAATCATTTTGCTGCTTGTAAGATATTCATTGCTGCCTTTTTTATTGAAACAATGACTATATAAAAATAATGTACAAAACCTGTACACTTGACCACTGTCTTTCCTACTTTTGTATTTATAGTGCCCTATATATATGCTGGGATGATTCCCAAGATGTTTAGTAAATATCATGCAGTTTTAAAACAATGATTAAATATATGTGTTTTGAATTGGTATAATAACCAGTATATATATAATAGGTGTATGTCCAAACCTGGATGTGTGCATTCATTCTTAGTCAACACTAACAAGAAAACTAAAACATGTATTTTGACTTGTTTGTAACAAATATAAATAAATTAACTGAATAATGGGATACTCACAACTGTCCATATTTAATTTCTTTTCTGGATTATAATATCTTATATGAAATATTGTGAATGTCCATATAGCCTTTTTGGGAAGTTAGCATTTGTATTTTGCATAAACTAAGTTCTTAAGTTTGTAATTTTTTATTCTTGAATTGGAAAATTCCCAATGTAATTATTAGAATAATCATATTACAAAATAGAATTGCATGGGCAGATATGAATGTGAACTCTCTGTCCAACAACAACTCTCTTGTTGGCCTGAGAAGAGATGGGGCCAATCTGAATTTTTCTCTTTTCAGTTTTCATCTTCAATCAACATGTTTATATTATTGTGTGTGTGTGTTTTTTTTTGTTTGTTGTTTTTGTTTTTGTGGTAAAAGCAAGCTCTTTAAAAAGTTGTCTTTGAGAACAATTAATGCCACATGTTTACCTCACATTTTAAAAAGTCTTTTCTGTACTTCCTCTACTAGTTGAAATGCAATCAAATATTAGTTTTAGATATCATCTTCAATATCTTTTCTTCTCCTTCCTTAATCTTTACTAGTAAATGTAATTTGTAGGGTTTCAGGAATGTTCGAGGATTTTTATGGTATTAAGTGTTTACATTTTTAATATTGAGGATACAGGTGCTTTTTCTCAAATGGAAAATATTGCTACTAAATATTCTGACAGGATCCATCCTTTTTCTTTAAGGTCTATGACTATTGCATGATGTTGTAAAGTCTTATCTCAATAATGCTTTTCTTTGTTTAGCAAAATAGGTGTTGTAAAATTTTCCCATGCATAATTTGGAATAACCTGGCTACTTTGGTGGGAGTAGTTTTAGGAGTTCCCCCCTAACACCACAAGCTGCTACTAAACCATAACATTAGCTTAAAAACTAGTGATGTTCTTAAATAGCCTTATCAGATCAAAGCTTTGATATGGATGTCATGCATGGCACCAAATTCATACAAAAATGTCTAAACTATCAGTTATATAAACAAACAAAAAAATCTCTCAAATCAATGGTTAAAAACGGCTTTGTGTGAATGAAGCCTGTAGGTGTTAGTGAACAACATCCGTCTTTGAACCTTATGGAATGGTGCTACAGAATCAGAAATACAGAACTATCAAATAACAGAAACTGCATCACTGCATCACTTGGGGACTTTCAACAGTAGCAATAACTAAAATGGATGGTATGTTTAACAAGAAAATGACAAAATATTAACATTCTGCAATACTTCAAACAAAAAGTTAGGAGGAAAGCTCCCATCAATACTAAAAAAAAAAAAAGCAAAAACAGCTACTGGACTTGAGAAACCGATCTTCCTAAAAAATTCTAATAGAAAGATCATGTATTCAAACTGAAAGTAGCACTGGCTGCTTGTTCAATGAGCACCAAATGTTTCCATATAAGGAAATGGCTACTATTCCCATAGTTGTAGACATCCATTGGTCTTGGGAGACAAGGAGTCTACAAGAGTGGCTCTCTATAACCTCCATGTTGCAAATGCTTACTTGAGTAAATGTGTGAACAAAAATAATAAAATAACTTCTATCACAATACTCGGCACCTTATCTTGAATGAATAAATGAAATATATATATATATATATATATATATATAATGTATGTGTGTGTGCATGCATTTCAATTTTTGTATGAATACAATAGATAACCTGTTATGTAGATAAAGATTATAATTATTTATATGGACACGTGTGTGTATTTTGGGCAGCAGTCCTTTTATACAAGTTTCATTAAAGACAACTGGCAAGGTACTGCGATGAAGGTTTTCATTTGATTTTTCTTTTGTTTCTATACGTGTTTTCTTTTCTAGACATAGTGTATAAAAATTGGCCAACTCTTCTGCATATTTGAGTGCTTTCAGCTATTCTTTTTAGCCATTATCAAGGATGATTTTTATTTTTAACAATGTATTTTTTTTTTTTTTTTTTTTTTTTTACACAATATATGTATCTATAGTTATAGGAATGTTTTACTTCACAGTCAGCACATTATGGTCATATTCATAGTTGATGCTTGTGTGTGTATTTTAAATGGATCCTAATTGAGCTATGACCAAAGAGGTGTAACATGGGTCTCCTTGATAAGCATTCCAGCTCAAACCAAACTCATGAATAATTATATTGGACATGCCACTATATGCCTATTGAGAACACTCGTGTTACACTTCTATGACCATAGCACAATTTGGATCCAGTTAAACGTGTCAAATTTAACACAGAAACCTATAAACCCCATCTGCAACATACTTGTAGAAAATAAAAGGATGACAACCTCATCATATGTAAAAGATTAGAAATAATGGAAGCACTGATAATAATAATCATCACCCTCCCCTCACACACGACTTTGTAATCATAGGGAGGTACCTAATGCAGAAGCCATATTGAGTCTCTACAACAATTTATCAACCACAACCATCAGTGCTTATATATATATATATATAACTATTTTTTTAACAAACATTTTAGCATTGACAAGCCCCAGCAAAATTATCCCATTCAAAATTGCTATCAAAATGGTATACAATTAAGTTTCATTTAAATTTCATTTTTATGTAATTCACTTATATCATAATAAAAAAAGGAAAACACTCGGTAACATTAACTATGAACATGGCCACAATGTGTTTGGAAAATAAAATATTCCTATAACTCTAGATATATATACACACCAAAGAAGTATTCATACATTCAGTTCAAAACGAGAATTTAAAAAAAAAAAATTATCTTCAATAATGGCTAAAAAAAAATAGCCAAAAGCACTTTAATATGCAAAACATTTGGACAATTTTTACACACTTTTGACCAGAAAAGAAAATGCTGAAACAAACAAGAAAAATGCAATAAAAAAAAAAACACAGTACCATGTCTGTCATCTTTAATAAAATATATATTTAAATTATGCAATAGTCAGTTTTCAATCAGCACCTGATAGTTGTGCTATCTGTGGGTGGGGGATATATTACTTTTATAATATACACTAAATAGGGGCTGAAGAATAGATTGTTCAAATTCTACTTGGAAAGCCTTTTCACTAATCTGAAGTATTTTATTGAATGCTACAAAATAAAGACATTCACTTTTTTTCCTTAAGATACATATTATTTCATTTCCTTTTGCAGACAATCCCAACAACATGGTAGAAATGTCCCAAAAAGTTGAGATGGTAAACTGCACAGTGGCATTCATGGCTGATTGCCTCTCTCTGAAAAAATGCAAAACTTCCTGTAAATCTATGGGAGCTGCTCGTTACCGCTGGTTCCATGATTATGGATGTTGTCAATGTGTTGGTGATACATGCCCTGGGTATGGCCTCAGTGAACCCCGCTGTCTCAATTGCCCTCGGCAGGATAAAATGGAAGATGATGAATTTGTTGATGATGTATATGAATATATGGAGAACGTAGCAGCAGATGGGACAAATACCAAGCGACAGGATGAAGATAACTTATTGCCTGAAAAGTATACAGAGCTTGATCAAATGGATACATTGGAGAAGGAAAAAGAAATTTCAGTGTTTGAAGACACACAAAACAGTGACGATACAGAAAAAGTAACACTGGAAGAGGCAGAAAATCCTGAAGATGGCATTAAAAAGAATACGCACACATTAGAAAAGGATCAACATGAAAAACCTGAAGAGGTGTGAGCTACTTCTGGGACTGGGAATTGAAGAAATCGGGTTGGGGCCATGAAGTCTGCATTTCATTTTGACCAAGTTTATGAGTCTTGGTAACAGTATTAAATGTCGAAGAGGGTTTCTTTTTGGTTTTTTTTCTGCCTCCCTACGTTTTTTCTCCCCAACGACTCAAATCATCCCAGGTTAATATAAAATCTATAGACTTAAAAAAAAAAAAAAAAAAAAATTTGAAAAAAGTGAAAACTATTCTAAAATTTTTTTTTTAAAAGAAAGTTATTTTCCTGGGTTGTTGTCACATATATCATTTACTTTCTCACTAATGAAAATCTGAGATGAGCATTTTTTTTTTTTTTTTTTTTTTTTTTTTTCCACTATTGTCTTGAAAATCTTAATCAAGTCACTGTTATTACTGCTACATTTTATTTTTGGGGGTGTGGGGGGAATGTCTATCTCTGTCCCAAAGGATTATAAAGCAAGGAGAATAATTTCACATGCCCTTGTTGAAAATAAATAAATAAATAAATAAAAAAAAAAAAAAATGAAAAAACTCATTCATTCTCTCTCTCTCTCTCTCTCTCTCTATATATATATATATATATATATATATATATATATATATATATTTATATATCTATATCTCTCTCTCTATATATCTCTCTCTCTATATATCTCTCTCTCTCTCTCTCTCTCTCATCTACTACTTGAAGAGATCATGTTGATAGAGGACTTATTAGTAAGTCAATTCTTCTATGAATCTATCTGCGACTTGTGGGGCTCCATTTCTTTTATTTATTTTTAGTTTTCAACATCTGATTTTTATTTGTCTCTATACAGCCACATTCATGTCCTGTAATCTTAAAAATATACTTGTATTTACAAATTATAGCAGAAGCAAAAAAAAAAAAAATTTTAAGATATCTAAATGAATTCAAAAATAAACTGGGGAAAAATACTTTATAGCAGATAACTCATTATAAATCCAGCATTCGATTTGTTCAAATTGAAGAAAAAGAATTTTTTTTAACTTGTTCAAATATCTCCTGTACCAACTTTTTGTGGCATGATTATCTCCCTTTTCATTTTAAAATTTGTATATATTCTAGAAACGATTTGAGCAAGAGAGACTGTGCCATTAAATGGATAGGAAGATTTTGGTAGAAAAAGTACCCCAGTCCTGTTTGTATGAAATATTATTTGTTATTTATTTTTTATATTTTTCTCTCAACTGTACATTGTCACAAAATGATATTTAACAATTAGTTTATTTTCTATATAACTGCTTTTACTTGATACCTTCCCTCTCCTCTTTTAAAGTTTTTTTTTTTTTTTTTTTTTTTTAAACTCCCTTCGCCTCCTCCTCCCCTTCATAGAAGGTATTCAAAATTCATATCTCAGTTTCTAATGCACCTCCCACCAGAAGGTGTTTTTTTTTTTTTTTTTTTTTTTAATTGGGTAGGGATAGGAAAGATTAAAAGAAAAAAAAAAACTGCAAAATCTCAAATGTATGAATGACTTTGTAGAAATTCAGAGGTGAAGTATTTGAAAGGTGCAAGTTTGTGGCCACCATTGCAGAGTTGAAAAATTTTCTGGAGGGGGGAGGCAGGAATTCTTGTGACAACTATGATTCATGTTTTTTTTTTTTTTTTTTTTTTTTTTTAATTTTTTTCTCTCTCTCTCCACTCGCCAAAAAATACTAAAGACAGTTTCTCTCATTTTATTTAATTTCTTAATAGTTGGAGAAAAAAATATTTAAAAAAAAACATCTGCCTTCATCAATAGTTCTGTTGACTTAATGAGAGTATTTGGGTTTGAATCTGTTGATATACTAACAAAAATAATTTTAATGATGATACCATGATGACTTAGTTTTCTCTTTAAAGATATGCACAACAAATGAAATATTCTCACTAGATATTTTGACATTAAAAATGTTATAAACCTTTACCAAAATCTATTGCAGATAAAGATATTGCAATTGCTTGTTAGAGCTGTTGTTAATTTAAACCACAGGAATTTCATTTTTATTTACTTGACGTGGCAGATTCCTTTCAACTTGAGAATTTCTAATTCATAACTTCCAAAACTGTCTTTGTATTCTTGCTTTAATATTCAATCAAATCAGTTCAGTCCATTACTGCTTTGTAAAAAGCCTGTTGTAACTCTGGCAATGATATTTTCGTGGCACACTTCCTAAAAGCTTGTTTTCTCTCATTCAGATTTTATTTATAATAGCATAACTGCATTATTTTTGTCAATGAAGCAGTGAGGAAAATGAATTTTTAAGTATAATCATGTCAAAGGATAAGCGGACTGCTTTTTGTCAATATTAAAGTGAATTTTTATAAGTTATCTTTTCTTTTTTCTTTTTTTTTTTTTCTTTTAAATATATAACATGAGGTACGAAGAATTTTTTTTCATTTAAAAAGAAAAAAAAAAAAAATGCCCACCTTGCTTTACTTGCAGAAATCAAAAATCAAGTCGTTTTCAGATTCTTTGACCGACTGAATTATCTCCCTTTTTAATTTGTTCCTCCTGCTGTGTATTGAAACGGTTTTCCTTTCCATGGCATCAATTCATCTTTGCTCGCAGCCTCTTATAGTATGTGAGCTTCTTGGGCTTTATTTGGCAGTCACAAGTTAATCATCTCCTGCCTCTTTAAATGCAAAACTATGAAGATTCACTTTTAAAACGTTAACAAAAAAAAAAAAAAAAACAGCTGACATTATTTGATCTGTGCCAAAAGAATTTCTTGGTCAAGATCACAAGAATGAACAAATACATTTTTTTATAAATAACAAAGAAAAAATATGGAAATTGATAAAAGGGGAAAAAAAAAAATTTCGAATTTGTATATTATAAGTTTGCTTCCTTAAAAAAAAAAAAAAAACTGTAAATAATTTGACATGAAGTGTGTATGTGTGTGCATGTTAGAGTGTGTATCATAAAACAAATTTCTTTTATTCATGTTTCTTGAATAAGTCTCAATTGTTTTAGGTCATTATTAGGCCTATAATATTCATGTAAAAAAAATTTTTTTTTTTTTTTTTTTTATTGGAATACAAAGAACTCAATCTTCAACTTCTTTTGGCTGAAAGAAAATGAAATCTGAAGGAAACACCCAAGCCAAATATTTTTTTTTTTTATTTTTTTTTTTTTTTTTTTTTTTTTTTTTTTTTTAATTTATTTTATTTTTTTTTTATTTTTTTTACCTTCTTGAATGTTATTTTTTTAACTAGACAACATGCATGATTTACTTGGATTAAATCTGTCTAGTGATAAAGGAAAAAAAAAAAAAAATAAACATATCCAACATTTTCCTTTTGTTTCTGTTTGTTTTTATTACCATCACGATAACCACCAGCTTGAATGTTGCAAAGAAATACTCTGAGATTTTAAGTTGATACTAATGCCTATTAATAAAGTAAAGTATACTTGATAAAGACTGTTTTTATAGTAACAGTAGTACCACCCAGCAAATATCATTTATTTCAGGGCACCACTGTATATACAGGAGGAAACTTGTACATCTTCAGGGAGATTCAAATTTTTTGGGCAAAGTAAATGTGTTAATAAATTCAAGAGATTTATTTAACCCTTCCAAGTGATTTATAAATAGGTAGCAAAGGTAAATCTCTCTTTGAACTTTTGTTCAGCTGTTTTCATTATGATGATAAAATGTGTGCACTAACTTCAGAATGACGGCTGCCTTTGAAAACCCCATTCAAGTATGCCAAATTGGAAGATGTCATTCTGAAGTTAGTGCACATTTTATCGTCATAATGAAAACAGCTGAAGAAAAGTTCAAAGAGATTTACCTCAGCCTCTGTGCAATAACCAATAACATACATGAAAAGATTCACATTATCAAATAAACTGATAATAAAAGTAATAAAACCACTACTACCTTTTTATATATTACTGGAATAACTTCATAATAAATTGCCTATCTGAAGAATAATTCCATATGAAAGAAATTAACTTTTAGCCATGCAAGCTCAGCTGAGAAAATGTAAATATTTAGTTATGATTGTGTTCACAGCAATAGCAAGTACTATTATTGTACTGTTATTAGCAGTATTTTGTGATTAATGAAGATAAGTAAATGGCCATTACTACAATAAGCTGTCTGTAACAGTTTAACATTCGGCGGAGGAAGGGCATATTCAACAAGAAGTCTAAAATTGCTTTTTCACTGTAAATTCATTATATCATATCCAAGTATTTTACAAAAAACAATAGTCAATTACACTATTTCAAGCTCAATTTAGGTTTATAGTTTGTAACCATGCAATGAGGTGATTTAAACTGTAAATTTGTCTGATGAATATTACATTATTATTACATAATTATAGTGAAATCATTATGCTTTTTGTCAAAAGCACTCTTGGTTGGATATTAATTTAAGATTCCTTTTTACAGGCTTTATTTTTTTTTTAAATGGAATAAGATCATTCTAAATTTCATAATTTCGCTATTGCACATCAAAATGACTGGAAGAAAAAATGTACAACAATGGAAGAGAAGTAACAAAGCATAAGCAAAATAGTGAAGAATATGGCAGCAGTTACACAAAGAAATTTTTTCAAGGAATGTGAAATAGAACCAGCATGTACATGCAAGAAGGATTGCTTTAACAAAATCTGTGGATTGAAAAAAAAAAAAAGTTTCAGCAATATTTGAATCTTTTTGGAATATGTCATTTCAACAAGCAAAATGGCTACATACAGAGATTTGTTACCAGACATTTGGTCAAGCAAACTTACAAAAAAAAAAAAAAAACGGATTGAGTAGAAGAAATGCAGCTGTTACACTGTAATGTCTC